GGGTTCCCACACTTGTAAATGCTGGGGTTGCAGGAAAGAGTTCTGATTCCTGGTTTTTCCTTTCCAAGATTACACACAATAGTAGCATTTACTCAATGAATATTTCCTGGGTACCTATTGTGCAAGGATAGTCTGGGAGATAGTCTTTTATGAGTTGTGATATGTAACAGATTAGTAATTGTGGCCTGAGTAACAGAAGAATCTGAATTGCCCATCAATAGAGAGAAGTCAGGAGTAGCTAGGAACTCTCCTGTGCATGCCACATAACCCGGCTATGCAGACATGAAAGGAACATGCATTTTACTATCAGGGCGAACTGCCACTATGCATCTTGGAGGGTGAACAGGCAAAGAAGTCTGTCAGCAAAGTGCAGCTCGTCTAAACCAGGGTGCTTTCATTTTGGAATGCAGACAAAAATGGATTTGTCTGTAGAGGGCTTGAATCAGGGAGCACCGGCGGCAAGTTAGGGACCAGAGTGTCATGAGTTTATGTGATGAAGGAGGTGAGCTTATGATTAGGAAGTTCAGTGTCAGCATAACCTAAATAAACCTGATCTTAGAGGAGCAGCTGTTTCTTTATGACTCACTTATGATGCCTTACAAAATTGGAAACTGAACTAGATCTTGAAGATATAGAAAAATTAACTACAACAGTGAATTGCAGGGTCTGAATAAATGCCGTCTGAAGGGAACTTACTTTTTTATTGCGTTCAGGTTTGTTTCTATTGAAATCTGAGTGCAATGTACCACGTTTCACAAAAGCGCCTACAGCAGGGAAGTTTTCAGGATGTCGCTCTCACGCATCATTGATGTTCCGCTGATCCTAGCTAGAGAGGGTGGGGATGGAGTTCTTCTAAGAATGGCAGCATTTACATGCAAAACCCAAACAGATAGAAGACCACTGAAGCATGATTTGCATCAGTAAACGACAGGTGTGACTGTTAGGAAATGACGGGACCGATAGGCTGGTCTGTTGTGAAACACACACCGGCTGGTTTTTGTACTCCAGGACAAGCCTGCAGCCAAAACCAAAGGTTCTCGGAAGTTGAGAATGGAAGTAGTCATAACTGGTGCAATGACGCTGTTTTCCTCCTGAATTTGTCTAAGCCAATGTAAAATAGTAGCATTGTTTCATTGCTAACTGCACCTAAATCACCCAGCTATTTCTCTTATGAATGATTTAGATACAGTTCCATTCTATTGTGAGGAACAACTCAGGCGATGAAGCCTTGGAATATCTCCAACTTCTACTTTCCCTTGTCAAAAGTACATATAATAAGCAGTTCTTCAAAATTTTGCCTACGACTCTCTCCATTCAGTGATTCCATTTTCTGCTTTAAATATCGGATTGGTTTTTGAGGTATTGAACCACCAAATAAATAAAAGAAACAAAATATGGTTAAAACTCTTTCTTAGTGGTTCCTCACCTAAGGGATCTGCACTGTGGTGAAGATATTAGCATCAGGGGGCAAGTGTGTGTTTTCACTACAAACCTTGTCTGTGTTGTAAATAAATAATATGATGCATGTGTTTGTACTCTTGGTTTTCAACTATATGTAGGTACTGTAGTGATTATTCACTTCAGAACATTACTGGGTTTATAGAAGTTTTCATGATTATATGTTTTCTCACTCAACTGAACACTAAAATATAATTATGGTAGAATGGAGGGTCCTTAAAAATACGACTTTAGAAAGAAAGTCTTAAGCTTGTTAGATATAGATATAGACAGGTGTTAGATATAGAAAGACCTCCTCAAGGTTAAATTTTTGTATTTTTTCCTGAGGGGAATTTCAGTAGGAGGTGCACCAGGAATATTTCAGGATGTTCTTAATGATATTATATCTTTTTCTACAAAACTGACATGCCTAACTTTAATTATATAACCCATAAGTAGGGGAAATTATAATTCTATCCATTTGAGAATGTATAATCTTTTAAAAACACATTTAGATATAAGCCATATGTTAAACTGAGTGCATCAGGTGTTGAAATAATGTGCTTAACTTTCAAATACTCATATATTGCCCCAGTATTTTTCAAATTACAAGAAATCGGTAGTAGACGAAGTATATCCGAATAAATGGTCAGGCTCAGGTAGCTCTGCTGGAGTGGATGTTGTGTTGGCAGTTGGTAACCTGATAGCAGGTGCATAATGAGATGGTACCTGTGGTCTGAACGCAAGGAGCTTGCCCTGGGCCTGTGAGTCAGTATTTCCTGTCCCTGTATCTAGTGGCGCCAGCCCTGGCCCATGGACATGGGACACGGGCTGTCCGGTTGACTTTTTAGTAGCCCCCTAAGGACTACCCACTAAAGGTTATAGGAAGCAATTTTATTTATACCCTCTCCTTTTGGTGTAACTTTCTCCAAAGTTGTCTAGGGGACAGAAATAGAGAAAGAAAGCAGGTTACATGCCAAGTTAGGGTTGTGCCAGCATGGTGTGGTATTTCTTGGCGGTGCAGAGTACTGGCAAGGGTGTTACTGAAATGATAGGCCATGGGGTCTTAGGTGGGTAAGGAGGTAAGATGTGAAAGAAGAGGGCTGGTGGACTGGTAGAAACTGGGCTGGGGGAGGCCTTCAAAGGGCTGAACATCCAAATCCAGGTACAGAGCAGACATGGTGGGAGGGACAAACTGAAGAAGGGGCAGGTGTGGTCAGAAAGCAGGGTGTTCAAGTCAGCGACATTGGCAGCAGAGCAGTTGTGGATAAAAACAAGGTCCAGGCCCTGTTGCTGTAGCTCAGTGGAGTGAGCTCGGGCCTGTGAACCAAAGGATTGCAGTTCCATTCCCAGTCAGGGCACATGCCTGGGTTGCAGGCCAGTTCCCAGCAGAGGATGCATGAGAGGTAGCCATACATTGATATTTTTCTCCCTCTCTCCTTCTTTTCCCCTCTAAAGATAAATAAATAAAATCTTAAAAAAAAATAATAAGGTCTGGGTGTGACCATAAGACTGGGTGGCTGAAGTGGAGAGATATTCAGGTCATTAGAGATGGGGGAAATTGAGACCAGAAGGCCAGATCGTCACACGGGTCAACTCTGGATTTTGAAATCATTGCCAACATTGGCTAGATTTAGGGTTGAGGAGATCACTGCTGGGAAAGCAAGAGTGAATGACAGCTGTTAGGAGGGGACAGGAGGTCCCACTGGGGTGTGACCCTGTCTCAGAGGGGAGGGTAACAAGAGTGCAATGGCGCACAGGCCTAGACACGGTGATGGGACAGCGAAGCACCGGCTCCCCATCCTGCTGTGAGAGACTGAACAGCCACCACTCGAGAGCTTCCGCAGAAGTCCTGTCTGCAGGCAGAAGCCAGGTTCTGCCTGGAGCAACAGGGTGAAGGGGTTGTTCAGAGGGAGACTGATGAAATAGGAGAGTCCACTGGATATGGGGCACAGGGCAAGTGCAGTGGAAGGTTTGGGCACACGAGGAGGAATGGGGGTGTGTTCAAAAAGTTGTGGGGGGATCATCCTGCTAGAGGAGTGGTGACTGAGATAGACTTCTATTAACTGATGAGAAATAAGCCGACGGGCATAGAAGTGGTCACTATGGCATAGAAGTGGTCACTCCAGGCATAGAAGTCTTTCGGCCCCGTGGTCGAAAGACTTGGCTCCGTTGGCCTGAGGTCAGGGTGTCTCTGCAGGTTTTCTGCACGTGCCACTGCTTGGGATTTTCTTGGGTCGGAAGTTGCAGTTTCAGCTTCTGTACAGCTCAGTGTCACATTGGTCCCAGAGGCTCTGACTCAACGCCTGCTGGAGTGTTGGCTCTCTCAGGAGGAAGGCATTGAGCACCCCATAGACTGGGGATGAAGCATTCTACATGAGGTGTCAGGAGCCTTGGAGGCTGGGTGTTAGTCCAGTACAGGCAGTGGGATCTTGGCCATCCTGGAAGATGCAAATCTATGGCTGAACAGCCTGAGGTGTGCTGGTCCCAGGACATCAGTATTGCTGTGGCTTATCTTTAGGACTCAGGGAGTTAGGGTGTACTCTGGGTCAGTACATACAGGCTTCTCAACCTGGTGAGTCAACAGCGTGTTCCCATTAGTTCCTAATTGTAGATCAGGAGATCTGACAGCAAATAGAATCACTGAGCCCTGTAATTCAGGAACTCTGGTTACAGCACATCCTCAATTTTTAAATTGCAAAAACTTGCAGGAGCTGCAAGTTATGTGCTGTTTTAATTTCATTATAACAAAATATAGCTGGAGGTTCTGTCCTGAGATTAACAAACACAAATTATTGGGGAGGTTATTTATTATTTTAATTATGTGACATTATCTTTTCCCACTGACAAAAGCAATCAAAATGACTCAAATTGAATCAGTGAAAATGAACTGATTCCCAAAGGTTATAAGTGTGGTTGGAAAATGTCATGCGTTTATTAAAGTTCTGCACAAAAACTAAAAATGGTTAGTGAGGTAAATACAAATCTCCTTATGGGTTTGGAATTTGGCTACAAGTAGACAGAAGTCTAGAGATCATCTCATCAAATATTCTGTCTTTCTAGATCAGGAAACTGGCAAGTAGGTCAGTTGCAATGACAATTTCCTGTGACTAACCTATACTGACAAAATGACAGGCAAGACTTAGACAGTACCAGGAACTAGACTGAATGACAATAATGTTGTAAGCTTTAAATCTCCAGCATTGCAGAATTACAGTGTCTTAGACTTCAGATTGCTAGAGCCTTGTGAGGTTCGGTGTTGGAATCCCCTGGACAGTGGCCTGTGGAGGGTCCCCTGCCTGCCGCTCCTTGAACACTTCTCCTGATGGGAAGTTGAATTCTCATAGCAGCCCATTCTGTTAATGTGGTAGCACTTCATTTTGGAAGGTCTCTATCTCTGTCAAGTTGGTTTTGTTATCTCTATGAATTCTGCTTCTCGGCCTTTTGGCTAAGATCAAGTGTAGTATCTATGAATTCTACCCATGGATTCTGCCTTCTGAAGCTAAGACCTGCCAGTGTTTGCCGACAGCGATTATGTCTGCTCTAATTCTCTTCCTTTCCAGGAAACACATCTCTAGTTCTCGAGGTTGTGTGTCGTGCGGAGCCAAAGTGAGGTGAGGAAAAGGGAGACGAACTAATGTGCTGGGACCGATCGTCAGAACTCAAGGGTTGGAGTTTCCTCGGGGTCGTTCCACACAAGCTTCTCGGCCTCTGTGACTCAACCGCGTGCCCTCCTCAGGCCCTGACTGTAGATGGGCGGGCCTTCCATCAGATACAGTCACGGGCCTTTGATTTAAGAACTCTCTCTAGTTGCAGCACATTTGCAGTGTTTAACCCATGAAAAGACGAGCTGTATGGAAGAGAGAGCAGAGGCTGTAACCCGAAGGGGCTTCCAGCAGAATGAGAAGCGGGACTTTTTACTTGTAAAGACTGGTCTGAGACACCGAAGTTAATGTCACAGTCTGTAGACTTCATGTTACCTGGAAACACAACAATGTTCAAAATGCCATGGCTTTGTTATAAAAAATACAATTCTTAACAATTATTTTACCCTGTCTTTGAAAAAAGGAAGAAAATGTCTTTTCCCACTTTCAAATTTTACCAGTAGTTAAAATCCTCAAGAACAACTGTATTCCAGGGTATTCTTAGCTAAGATTTAAGTTAGATTCGGGAAAACTGCACATGCGTTATTTTCAATGGTTTATGCACCATAAAAATATGAATTTACTTTGATCCTTAATCTTAATTTAAATTCTAAACTTGGTTTTATTTCTCTAGAAAACCTAGTATGTGGATGGTGCCTGTTAAGTATCCACTAATTTAACTGTGCTCATGAATTCCAAATATAAAATCACTTATTTTCTAGATCAAGGGGATGAATCCACAGATCCATACGACAAATCTAGCCACACAGTTGTTGACGTTACTCAAAGACTGATGATATTCCCACAGACAGAAGTATTTTTGAAACACAGTCTACAAAACCAGAGACAAATAGACTCAAAATGGAATTCTGTTCCTTAGGAATTGCTTTGAGTCTGATGAGATTTTCAAATTCTGACCAGAAGTAGACTTTGCTCCTCGTAAACTTGCTGTTAAAGCATTTTTTCACCCACCCTTCACACAGCATTTTGCCTGGCCTGGTGAGGACCAGAGAAAAGTGGATTAAGGAGCAGGCCCAGTGAAAACGTTTTTGCCAAGCGTTTGCTATTTATTTGCTAGGATGATAATGTTAAACTTTGGAGATGTCGTTTATGCAAATTAAATGTCAATTTGATAGGTTGTTTTACACAGTGACTATTCAACCCATTTAGGCTATACTGCATCCTGGTTACCTTGCCAAGTGTTCAAGGGCATGTGAAGATGAGTAAGGTGGCGCCCGCTGCAAGTTGTGATCGGCAACACCAATACCCGAAGAAAGAATGAATTATTTTCCTCATGCGTCGTCCTTTTATTTGTTTATGTATTTGATTATTAATGTTTAATAAGACAATAAGCCAATGTGAAGTAATGCTTCATGTTTGAAACATTGACAAAAATCCGCCTGTGCGATAGTCTTCCCCACTGTCTCCCTGCCTCATCACTCATATAGAACCAGTACTTTTTGCGTTTTTATATACTTTTTATCCCTATATGTATATGTAACCTAATTAGTGATATATTTTTTTTTTACTTTAGAGGGACTTTGATGCTGTATGTGATCTTTGGAACTTGCTTTTTCATTCAGTATCATGTAGTTAAGATTCATCTATATTGTTGTACGTAGTCGTAGTCCATTTTTACCGCCTTATCATATTCCATACGTAACTATGCCACACTTTATTTCCCTATAAATGGTCATTTAGGCTATCTCTAAATAGTTTACTCTACTTTAAATAGCGCAGCTATGAGCATTTTTTAACATGTCCGCTACAATATATTGCAGAGACTTCTACCTACTTACAGTAGTCCCCCACTTATCTGTGGTTTCACCAACTTCCCTGCAGTCAACTGCAGCCCAAAAAGATTAAACAGAAGATTCTAGAAGTAAACAATTCACAAGTTTAAAATTGTTGCCCCGGCTGGTGTGGTTCAGTGGATTGAGTGCCGGCCTGCAAAGCAAAGGATCACTGGTTCAATTCCCAGTCAGGGCACATGCCTGGGTTGTGGGCCAGGTGCCGAGTAGGGGTGCACAAGAGGCAACCACACAGGGATGTTTCTTCTCCTCTCTTTCTCTCTCCCTTCCTTTCTGTCTATACCTACATAAGTAAGTGAGTAAGTGAATAAATCTAAATCGTGTGCCATTCTTAGTGGAATGATGAAATTTCGTACTGAGCCCCTCCGTCCTGCCCCAACACGAATCTTCCCCTTGTCCAACTGTGTGTCCAAGCTGCACACGTTCCCCCTGTGTCAGTCACTTAGTTGTCAGAGCGGCCGTCCGGGCTGAGCACTGCTGTGGTTGCTGTACTACAGCCTCTGCAGCTACACTTCGATGAAGTGAAAAGAAAGAAACAGCAACTTCTGATTAGAATGTTCTTCCAAAACACTTTGGAAACAAACAAACAAAAACAGAAAACAACTATCCACTGTCAAAGGTCCCTAACCATCAAAATCGTCTGCTTCAAACCTCCAGCCGTTGACATGCGTGGCTTGATGACCCAGGGTCAGAAGGAGCAGATGACCCTCCCAAAGCATCATCAGGTCAGTGGCAGCCAGACACTGCGTGGCAGGCCTGCGTCAGTCACTCACCTCATCTCGTCACGGGGCCTCCCATCCCCTCACGTCGGCACCAGGAGAGGATGAGCAGTGCACAGCAGGGTTTTCAAGAGACAACATTCACACATATGTGAGCAAAAGGCATGTACTTTGTTACACCTTTTCTATTTTATTGATCCCTTTATGTGAACAGTTTATAAACTATCATATATAAGTGTGTATATATATGTATATGTATGTGTATGTGTGTGTGTATATAAAGTTTGGCACTATCTTCAGTTTTAGGATCCACTGGGGTCTTGGAAGGTAAGGGGGGGACTACTGTATATTGATTTAAATCTCTTGCTACGAAGCTTAGTGCATTCGATGAGTTTTCCAATTGTGCAAATTCAAGCCTAAAATAAACATCTTGTCCTGAGGTGAATAGATTCAAATACCATCCTAGGAGCCTTGTAGAGTGTGTACTCAAGATAAGGAATATTTGCTAAATGTTTTCTTGGGAGGCAAAATTGTCAGCAATAATTGGTGACTGATCTTTTCCCCACTGACCCAATTCAATGCCAGTGTTATTTTAAGGATACAAAAGGAAAACTGAGCACCAGAGGCAAGGGAGGGTGGTACCAGGTTCACTGACACTTAGGACTTCTTGGAAGCTAGTCCAGAATAATTCACCTTCATCTCCTTGGCGGGCCCTCTTATCCTACCCAGCAGCCCTCCTGTGCGAAGGTGAACAATAGGAACAAAAGAACCAAGAAAAAGGGCTCTGTCAGGTTTGTTCTCTCAGCATCAGCTGATTGCCTGCCAAGAAAAGTTTCTCGAGAGGTTCTGAGCTTAAAGCCTCACCTCTTTGTGAACACAGGAGAAAGAACCCTTTCCGCACACACAGGCATGGGCGAGCGAAGGGGACATGAGGCCCCACAGACACACAAGCGGTGTGGCGACTCTCTGTAGTATTCTAGTCTTAAAACATCCTTTTACTTAAATGAAAATTGTGGCTATAACCTAAATAACAGTAACCTGTTTGGCTATTTGGTAGCTGGATCTTCCCACTCATTTCCACTTGCAGTAACCATACCTAGACACTGCACATTTTTTGGCCCAGTTACCTCATTTCCTTCTGGGACCAAGTGCCGTAGCCTTTGTGCCCAATGGCAAAGCTGTCTACCCCCTTTCCCTCGGAAGGAGAAGAATGGTTATCTGATGCTGCCTGACGCTGACGAGAAGGGTCATGCAAAGGGTAGGGGAGTTGGCTGTGCCCCCGGGGACTCACTGCCTGCCAGTGGGGGTCTTCTTGGACAGAGCCGCAGGGAAGAGTCTTCTGGCTTCCATCTCCTAATCATTTGCTGTGTTCCATTCTTTTCTTCTTGGAAAGTAGATTTAAAAAAAAGTTAGTAAGTATACAAATGCCTCACATTTAGGTAGAACATAGCGCCAACACATCACCGATTGTTGCAAACCTACACACAAAACAGAGGACTTGTTTCTGAATTGCAGTGTGTGTTCTGCCAGGAGATAATTCGATCCAGAAAGACACAGCAGAGCTCAATTCCTTGTTTGGACAACACTTCAGGACATAGCGAGGACCTCATGCTCTTTTTCCTCCTATATTAAGTGAGCAGCTATTTCCCAATTCATTTCACCTCCCCCTAAAGAGCTAGATCTAAGCTTTGACCAATTAGGGTCTGTGGTCACACATCCATTCCTGTAGTCAGTATCACTTGGGAATTCTTTATGTAACCTCATTCAGCATTCATCTAAACATAATATTAATATTTAAGGTTTTTGACTCGTTCCTGTAAAATAATGTCATTATCATCACATGTTTACCCACCTCCAGCTTCCCATAGAAAATGTTAAACTTTGACTATAACATGTAGAGCGTAGGAAACCCGAATTCCTTTTGTAGAAAGAGCATTAACTGGAACATTCTGATTCTCACTGAGAATCAGTACAGCAATTTTTCTATAGATAAAAGAACCTCTTATCTTATGAAGAGCTGCATTAATTACAGCCTGCAATTCTGTTCACACATCCTTTTTCAGAACCAAGGAGAGAGCAGGGAGAAAAACATGTGCTGTTGGAAGTCTGTACTCCCTTTTTATTTTTCTTCTTGGAAAATAGCTTTTCTGAAAGGTAAACAGTACACAAATGCCCTGAGTCTGGGTGGAACAAAGTGCCAAAGCAATATAATTGTTCCAACAACAGCAGCAGCTATAACTTTAAAAGCAAAAAAAACCCCAAATTCCAACGTTAGGAGCAACTTTGTCGATCATAATACAAGAAGATGCAATTTAATATCAATAGCATGATGAGTGTGTAGGAGGTAATTATATTTCATTTTCTTTTCAGATGAAGCAGAAATGGAGCACAGTGACAGAAGCAAATGAAAGTCCCCAGGTAATAACGCGCATAGAGATACCTACAGTCTAAGTCGAGGCCCAAAGCTTGGGTTTGGGCGGTTTTCACTTTCCGGAGTCTGCGAAGACCTCGACTTCTTATTTCCTCCCATTAACCGTATCGGGTGATGGCGTCCGACCAATAACTGGACGGGTGGGAGGAAAGTTAGAATAATCTGTTGAGCAGAGATTTACTGTGACAGTGATACCATCGTACAGGCAAATGTTACCAATACCTGCTTCCCATTTTCTTTGCTCCCTTTCCTACTTAGCACCAACCCTTGCCCAGATTCGTCCAATGATTGGTTTCCGTCAAACTGTATGTACATGCAAGCCTGCCATGTAGTAGTGCTGCCTCTAGGGTTGGGGAAATTTCCTTCCTGATTTATTCATGCACCCATAAAAGAAGCCAGGATATTCTTATACACTGTAACTATAGACCAAATTCTGTACACCAGGAAAAGAATTCATATTCGGGAAAAGAATCAGATCAAATGGAACACTTAGAAGATATTAAAGAATTAAGAAAGCTAATTCTGATTAGCTAATTCTGTCAGGAGAAACCCAAGTAGCAACCCTATCACTTTTCCGTAAAAATCCTGAGATAAGCAAACATGCAGAGTCGGTTAAAATAACTGGACCCAATATATATGGAATTGAGATTCGTCACCGTAAACCCAGTTGTCCTTTGATTCTTAAAATGGGTTTGGAGTTGCATATGCTGTTGCCTAGTGCAGTGGAAAGAGGACAACAAACTTCGGTTTGATTTTAGATCTGCCACTGATTGGCTAGTGACCTTGGCTGAGTACCCTTCAGATTCTTAGGACTCCCCCGCAAGAGGGTAAGTCATGCGTGCAGAGTGTAGGTAAGGACAGAGTTGTGGCCTAGGACAGTGCCTAGCACGTCTGAGCTCCGAAGTAACTTGCTTTTGCTGTCATGGTTATTCACTGTCCTGGCGCAGTGGGTACCATCAGACACCTCTAATATTGTAATAGAGACCCTACTGAGCTTGAAATAATGAAAAGCAAACCGCCTTCAACTCAGAGACCACTTCTGACCCAACGTGCTGAAGACTCATTTCGAGTTCTCCTCTAACTAGCTCTGTAACGGGACAGGGATATCACGAGGACGTCCCAGCACAGGGGCAGGGACAGAACTGCCCGGCCTCAGGCTGCCACGAGCCTTCCCCACCAACCCAGGCTGAGTGAAAGGACAGCTGGCGTCACAGGAAGGAGGGCAGAGGGACACCAGGATCAACTCTTCACGTTTCAGGCCACCCGGCTGTCTCAGATGATCCCACCCACTGCACCAAATACTAACCAGGTCGCTTCAAAAATTAAAGAATGTTGGGAAATGAGCAATTTATACAGAAGCCAAGAACTGAGACAAAGATCTGGATTTTTGTCAGAAATCATTTTTAAAGACTCCGTTTAGAATTAGCCCAGTCATTGCTTCCATTCGCAGCCTTTCTCAGGCTGGGGAAACGAGGCCAAACTGAGTGCCTTCGAGTTTCTGCAGGAGGCCCCTCATTCTCCCTGGTGCTGCAGCTCGTGGGGCCACCACCTCACCGCCACCTGCCTCGCACCAGCTCCGCCTCCTGCTCTTCTCTCTGCCCCTCCTTCCCAGGTGGCCGACTGGCAGGGAGTGGCGGGATGTCATGGGGCCGAGCCCCAGTGCCCAGGACACACCCACGTCTGAGTTTTCCGTGACGCACCTGCTGTCCTCATGCTGGCTCCCAAGTAAACAAATGGCCAGATCTTTTCCAAAAGTGGTTTTGACAAAGAACAGCTTAAACCACCCAAGATGTTGACAAATGGACAGTTACTTGGAGAGCGAGGACACCAACCCGCTTAAAGGACAAGCACAGACAAGGCCGCCTCTCTGTGCCCTTGCCCTTCTCCATCGCTGCTGCAGTGCAGACGGAGGGAAAGAAGAAAAGGAAACAAAGGCAGGTCCTCAGCACCGGCTGTCCCGGCGCTGATTAGGATGCTGACCTGTGTGGCAGGTTTCTAGGTTCTCCCCCAACTTCTTGGCCGCCATTCAAAGGATTTAACAGTGTGCTTGGCAAACAGTGGTGCACAGAGCCAGTCTAAAAATAGCGCTCTGCTAGGGTCTGCACTGGGTGAGCGGGAGTGGCAAGGGCTGTATTGCGTGAGGCGGATTGAACAAGTTGCTCCTTGGTACCCGATCTGCAGGGTTAGTCACTTGTTCCCTCCGGTTCAGGTAAATAATGCAAACACACTTAGCAATGCACCGTTGCTCTGTTAAATAACAAAAATGACCATTTTATTTGTGCTCTTGCTCGTGTGTGTTTATGACAGACAAATGTACACATTCTGTTTTCTGACAGTCAAACAAAGCCCTTGCAACCAGGCAAATCACTGAGTTAGCCCGGTGGAGCCCCCCTCCTGCCAGTCGCTGGTGTGGCACCCGAAGGTGGGCGGTGGCTAATGACAGGTGTCCTGCTGTGCCTGCCGACAGGAAGGATTTCTACTGAAGGTGGGGACCAACAGGAGGCTCTGATGATCAGTGGGCCTGCCAGGTCTGGCTGGAATCTCTCTGGAAACCATGTGTGTGCAAGCTTGAGCCTCAGCAGGCGTTTCGCACTGTGAGAGCAGCGTGCTGGTCTTGCTGGCCCCGGGAGGTGCTTGTCCCTGTGTCCCCAGGAGGATTCGGGCCAGGGAGGAGCCTGAAAGAACTTGATGGAAGAGCAGCATTTTCTGAACTGAAGGTGCCAGG